CGTTTGGAGCCCCTCCTTGATCTGTAGTCGGGTCTCAGCCCCCTCGTTAGATTCCTGATTTGCTCGGAGCGGGGTGAGGGGGTGTCCCCGCCGAGAGCGGAGCTGGGCGGTCAGCGTAACGGCTCCTGAGGGGGAGTCGGGCCTTCCGGCACGGGGTGCCTGTGCTTTCCTGGGCTTAGCCCAGCAGCCCTTCCTCAGGGCTCAGCGGGTTTAGGTGTGGCGGTACGGGGCACCGCAGCAAGGTGCCCGTTCAAGGGTTCTTCCACCTTGGTGTAGCTGTGGTTTGAGCGGCAACTGTAGTTTATTCTTAAAATCCCCAAAGTTCAGGTGTGTATTTATAGAGCTTGGTTTCAGTCTGGAATGTGTGTTTGTATGTCAGCCCTTGACCGTGTCATTAAGTGATTAGTGTATTTGTAGAATGCCACGGAAACGAATAAAGCTGTAAGGGCACGTTTTGTGAAATGAAAACTACAAGATTCAGCCCCCAGTGGTAGTGGGGGCTCCTTCCTCCTTCTGAGAGCTGTAAATTAACCGATCTGCCTCAGCAAAAGTTCTTGGAATTAGTGGGCAATGGTAGTCTTCAATTATATTGTGGAAGTACTTCATGAAAATCAAAATATATTTCTGTAATCAACAGGTGCTGTCTTCTGGAAGGCTAACAGGAGCAGCTAAATTAACAAATGGAAGAAAACAGTAAGACTTTTATTATGACTACTATCTAAGATTGAGTGTACATGTGATCATTTGGGAACCCTATACTTGTCATACCTCACAACTAGCCAGCAATTCTTTGTATATATCAGAAAACATTTTTAACTGAAAGGCAGTACAGCCAAGTTCTAAGCAGCCCATGAATAGACAGACACAAACTGAATAGAAATTTTGCCTGTAGAAATACAGGTTTGACTCTCTCTGCATGTTTTATTTATAAAAGATTGAATTTGTACAGTTACTAGCCATACGTAAGACTGTTAAGACTGAATTCTCCTTTGACATGAGTTGTTAATATATGCTTAACACGTTTGTTGCAGCAGTGCAAAGTTTTCAGAAAGATATTTTGTTTCTTGATAAAATTAATTTACTTTTGTTTGCTATTATTGAATAAAAGTAATTTTTTTTACTTTGCTGCGTATTAAGGAGGTAGTGTAAACAGTGAATTTGACTTTTTCAGATTTGGCTTAAGAAAAGGATGTCATTCTGATGTGGAGTCTGGATGCTCTCTCTATTCCACTGATTCTGACGATCAGGTAATTAAATGACTTTTTAATACAGTCATCTGTGTTATCTAAAGAAAAGGGAAATTGGAATACCTTGAATAATGTAAGAAAAACAGGTTAATTTAGATACTACTGCACCTGGACTAGAAATAGCTCCCGCAAAGCTAGCCAGAGTGTTTATACAGCATCTCGCAGATATATGCGAGTTGGCTTTGTGTGCAGTGAGTTGGGCTCTGATAAATCTCATTAAGGCACAGGATGTATTTTGCAAACACAACTATGCTGTTCATGGAATAGAGCAGGCCCTCGCAGAAGTGTAGCCGTATTTGTTAGGTTTTGTGCCGAAAAGAGCAAGTTGCATGGAGTCAGTGCTGTACCGCTGTTTTCTGTGTAGTGCTGAGTCAGTTATCTCCAAAATAGGAATAAGCTGTAGATAATAGCTTAACTGTACATAGAAATAAGAATAAAAGCCACACATGTGCAATTACCAAAACATAAAATCCAGCAAGTGGACACGTGTCCAAGAGCACGATGTAGATTTTTTGCAAAATTTGCGTGTTTGCAATCTTTCATACAATTGCAAAGTAATACATGGAAAATGACATGTTTTTGCTGGTTATCAGCTGTTCTTTTTCAGGTGAGAGAGTGGGGAACGCTCCCCTCTGAAACAGTATCTTGGTTTATTGAAAGAAAACAGCGATACTTATTTTCTGACTGCAGTATTCTTTGTGCAGGTTGATACTATTCATAATGGACTTGACCGTTGTGCAGCTTTACTGAAGAATATCTTACAAAATGAGGCTACAGGTTGTACCTATTGAAAATTTAAGTTATGGTTTTTGTAAGACTGTTTTGATTTGGTTTGTTGACTAGTTTTTGTTTTGACTAATACTAGGAAGGGAGACTATCCGTAAGCAACCTGGGAAAACAACTTCTGTTAAAATTACTTCCAAGCCTTTGCTAACCAAAGGAAATACTTCCAAGAAGAAAGGGCTGAAAAAACCCATTACTCCTGCCCATGTCCGAAAAGAAATTGGTAAGTGGGCTTTCTTGGGCTTGCTCTTTTCTCTAACAACATTGAGAGACTCCTCAGCTTATTGAAGAGATATAACAAGGCTTCAGATAATTGTTGTCGTTTGTTATAGGTTGATCTGGGGCTGGATCCACAAAAGGATGTAGGCATTACTCATTGCCTTTTAGAAACCTTAAATGTTTATTAAACAGGTACTAAATTTCACAAATGTTTGAGCTTCGTGTACAAGGAAGAAAATTGAGTGTGTTTGCATATACTAACATCATCAAGTTTAGCTGGTAGGAAGTGTGGAGGAGAATGATAATACCCATGCCTCATTTCTCTTGGACAATGAAGCATTGCAGTACTTGGTCTCTGTTTGGGATACGCAGCTATAAACTGTCCTGGAGGTAGGTGTCCAGCCAGGCTTTTCTCAAAGATCAGTTTCTGGAAACAGGAAAGTATTGCAATAAATAATAAGAACTCAGATGGTTTAGTGGCCAGAGCACTTGAATGAAAAGGTAGATGGAGTACTCTAGGCTGACTTGCTCTCAGTTGAAATATTTCACTTTTATTAGTGTTTCTCCCTTTCTCCACCCCGTTTCTTTTGTGTGATTTCTAATCTAGTAGACAGGTAGGGCCTGCAGACTAGGTATGTAGCAGAATGCCTATTTTGTGAATTGTAGAAGGTGAGCGCATAGCTGATATATTTCCAGCACTGTAAAAATATGGAGTTTTAATTATACGCAATGTAAGAAAAGTACATTTGGAGAGTGCTTTGGTATGAGTTATTCCAAATGGCCTAAAAGCTTAGGAAGCAGCTAAACAGAGATTTTAAGAATTGCATTTTCGAACTGGCCTTCTGTAGGATTAAATCTCTGTGCTTCCTTCAAGGACAGCAGTCTGTCCAACTGGGTTAGGTTGCTCTGTCTAGAAGAAAAAAATGATGGATTAATTTGCTGGTGAGTAAAAATCTGACTGGAATCTTAAGCCACAGTGTCTTTTGGTTTTCTTTTTCAAAGGAACCTGCCAGAGTCTGCCTGACAACACAATGAGCTTGTGTAGACTGAGAAGAGAGACAACTTAAGCTGAGTTTTTTGTTCTTTCTTTCTCTGTAGTGCCAATATCAAATAGAAAACTTGCCTCATCCACCACACCTACTGAGAAGGAACTTTCCAGCGCGGCACAGAATCAGATGGTTCAACCAATTCATGTGCCTTGCAGTCAACACTCTCCTGTGATGCATCAGAAACTGTGCGAGCATGTGCAAACTCAGATGTCTCTGATAACTGGCCAACCACCACAGAACAGTAACGAAATTCCTACTGTAACTCCTTTTCTTACATCAAATCATGGTTAGTGGAACTATTAATGTAGAGCCTGCTATTTTACTGTATGAGTTTTGCCCAAAATTGCCCTGATCTATGTGTTGTTTTCTTCTAGGATGTCAAAATGTTACAGCTTTTAACTGTCGATTACCTACCTCCACGCCAGCTCTGTCCCTGCAGCATTCAGCTAATACCTTATCTACTCAGTTAGTAAGTAAAAGTTTGATTCTGACTGTTAATAAATGTTTTAAATTAGCACTGCCTATTTATTTATACATTTATTTGTGTGGGGGTTTTCTTGGGTTTATGTAATAATTTTCCTTAAAGAAAAAAAGTTTCATATTTCAACCTACAGTGATGAACAGAATAAATAATGAGAGAAAATACTGCTATTTAAAATACATTTTGTATAGACACCAAAAAAATGAAATTAGAGGCATTTCAACTGGCTGCTTGTTTCTGCATGGTGAATTCTGTAATGGACAGCAGACATGGAAGGTGCAGGAAATTATTCATTACTGTTAATAATTGCATTCTCACACACCTTAGGATCACCTTAGGATCATTAACCAAGTCCTTATAAATCATATTTCATATGTAGCTTTTCCCTGCCAATGATCAAGTTGATTATTTCTTTAGACACTGTGTATTATCCTAGAGCCACATTTTAAAATAGTTTTGTATTTCAGGGTATAGAATAGAACTAATGAAGAGTACCAACTGCCACCTTGGGAAATGTGGTAAAGGGCTTGCACCTTGAAACTGTAAGACTGTAGACTTGCCTTCCATCTGCAGGCAGTCCATGTATAGTTAGTGCTGTCCTTGACTTTTAAGAAATTCATCTACTTAAAATACTGAAAGGTTACAGTGTTGTCTTTTATTTTTTTTCTTCCCTGTTCTGGTTTGATTCAGGGAATGAATTTTCATAAAGCAAAAAAAGAAAACATTGCTGAGGTTTTTTCTTTACAAAACAGCTGAAAAAGAACTGTGCTTTAATGTTGCCAATAACATTTAAGATAAAGGTAATCTAAACCAGATTTACATTTTAATTACTCTTTAATATACCGGGAAATTATGCAATTCATGAGTTGTAGTTGCTTTTATAATTTGCAAAGTATGATTGAGACTACATTGAGTCAGAAAAGTTTTTTTTTGTTTTTGTTTTTTTAAGATTTAAAAAAAAATGTGTTAATTTTTTGTTTAATATAAATATTCTTTATGCAGGATGTTCCTGTAGACAATGGCAGTGAACGCGTGCCAGAGATGGGAGGACCTGCGGTTTGCCCGGTAGTTTCTACTGCTTCTGCTACTGCTGCGCAAATGCAGTCTGCCACTGCTCTTCCTAGTGTGATCTCTTGTATAGCATCAGGTGCTTCAAGTAACTCCACAGTGCCTACATTCATCCCATCATCTTCTGGCAGAGACATGACACCAAACCACGAGCAACAGATAAAAGAAGCAGATTTGATAAGATGCATACAAGCTCACCTGGCCCTGTTACAATCACATGAAATGATGAACGGGAGGACTGAACAGAAGCACCATCATCATTGTTCAGCAAAACATAATGCTTTGAGTAACAAGGAGGAGGATACTTCTGAAGAACACAGTGAGGACATGGTCAGCGAAGAAGACGAACTGAATGTACTTGACATAGCCCCAGTGAGAGATACAAGCTCTAAGACAAGTTTTGTGAAGAAAGTTCTAAAATCTAGAAAAGAAAGTCCAGAAGAAACAGCCCATAAAGTTAAGACTGTAAAATATCTTCTGGGAGAGCTCAGAGCACTGATAATGGATCAAGGTGAGGACATTTTCATTGTGCAGTAGGGCGATTACATACAAATAACGCAAGAGCTGTGTTAAATGAGTGAGCACTGCAGTTTCTGAAAGCTGTATGTGTCAGATGATATGTGACATCTTAGAGTAGTTTTCCACACTTTAGTAGCTTCGTGTTTCACTCTGGATATGTATTAAAATATTTTTTGGAGTATTTTAACGTTATCGTAACAGCTAGGATAAAGATTGTTCCCATTTCATATACAGTGTTTTCCCCTGAGAAAGGGAGCAGTATAGACAGATTGCAACAGCAATCCCACCAAGGTTGGTCGGAGGGATGGTGGGTTGTGATTTATCAAGAACCTAAAGCATATTTTTCAGTCAAATTTAAAAATTTTAAATAAATATAGTTAAAATAAATAATATAGTTAAATAAATTTAGTTAAAATAAAAGATGATATTTTCTTGGGGAAAAAGTAAATACTATTATATCATTTTGTAGATTTGCTTAATTGCATATAAAATATTACTGTCATATTACACATTTATATGTTTATGGAGTCTTTTTTTTGTGTCCCTCACCTCTTGCAGATGATTCAGAAATGTTAAGGTTGATCAGTGAAATAGAAGACTGCATATCATTGCTCCCAGCTGTAGTGGGAAGTACGAATATACAAGCTGAAATAGCACTGGCTTTACAGCCTCTCAGAAGTGAAAATGCCCAGCTGCGGAGGTTAGTAACTCGTCAGTGATTCTATTTACTGCAAATGCGCCTAAAGCATTTTTAACTGGTCTGTTCTAAATTGCATATTTTAGCGTTATTATGGTATACGTGTTATGGCCCTTTCATTCTTGTCTGCACAGTGTTTATATATTAGGAAGTGTGTTGGTAAGGCTATATAGTTCAAAAATAAATAATTAACGCATAGCAAGACTTCAGTCTAGTAGCATCAGTTACATCATGATTGGGCCTTTGTCTAGGTGGGATCAATGTATCGTCTCTGAAAACTGCAGTATCAAGGTAGTTAGCCTGCTTGTATTCTTCTTGTAGTATATTCTCAAATGCAAAAATGTCTCTCATTGCAGGGGAGCTCTCAAATACATAACTGGGTAGCACTTTACCTCAGAACAGAGGGAAAGATATTTACCAGAACTTGCAAAGGGTCTTTTGTGTTGAAGAAATATAGGAATGTAAGAAAAACACATTATTAAAACTTTTTTATATTTCTGAAACGTTCTGTGACATTTAATTCTCAGTAGCAGCTTCTTACCAAACTAATTTAAAATGCAGTGGGTTTGAACTTATTCTGAACTTTCTGAATTTGTGCTTTTTCACAATTCACATTTAGGAGACTAAGAATATTAAACCAGCAACTCA